TAGTGTTTTGGAAAGCTCTCGAGATAAGCTACAAGAACGTGTAATAAAAATGGGGTTCTATTTAAAATTTTAAAGTTAACCCCCGCCCTCTTTAGAGGGGGAGCGGGGGCAATTTTATGTTTACATAGTTAGAAAGGCCCCTCGAAAACATGAAATTTTTTCATGAACGATTTTTTGATTTGACAAATATTTTTAGAGTTATTAGCTTGTAACACTTTACGTGGGACACTTTTTATATGGTGAGTTACTAGAAACTGCCTTCTAAGATATCTTTATAAATATTGATTTTACACAAAAATGTTTAAGACAAAAGTTAAATAATTTTGGTAATTATTTACATTAATAACCGACCTCACAGATTTTGATGACCTTGATATATATTATAATATTATACGGCCCTGAGAGGGGGAGCGGGGGCAATTTTATGTTTACATAGTTAGAAAGGCCCCTCGAAAACATGAAATTTTTTCATGAACGATTTTTTGATTTGACAAATATTTTTAGAGTTATTAGCTTGTAACACTTTACGTGGGCCACTTTGTATATGGTGAGTTACTAGAAACTGCCTTCTAAGATATCTTTATAAATATTGATTTTACACAAAAATGTTTAAGACAAAAGTTAAATAATTTTGGTAATTATTTACATTAATAACCGACCTCACAGATTTTGATGACCTTGATATATATTATAATATTATACGGCCCTGAATAACTTTCAAAAGGTTCTAGCCGTCGTTAGCAGTTGATTAAATAGTTATAAACAAAATAAGTTCCGGCGGGTCCATTTCCATTTAGAAATTAGAAAAATAGGTTTGGGTTAAGTTATAATTTTTGAAATTGAAGTACAGGGGGAGAGGCTCTACCCATGCTTTCACTTTATAAAAAATTGTAGAAGATGAATCCAGCATCCTATAACACTTTGACCTTGGGATGACCATGAAATAAAAAAAATTTAGAAAAACAGGAGGAATAATAGATATTCAATAAAAATAATAATTTTTTATTTAATAAAGGACTCAGAGTGTTGCCCATGCATTTCATGATACTTTTGAATACGTTCTCTAAAGGATGCCCAAACTCTTTGCAACATATCTTTTGGAAAAATTTGATAAGCATTGGTAAAACATTGTTTCATGTCTTCGGGATTGATAAATACAAGAGAAAAGAATGTGTCAATGGGATTTCATTGGGTTAATGAGTGAACAAATAGTGTATCGAGATGTACCAACAACTTCCGGAGACATGTAGATAGATATGGTCTTTATTGACTCCCCTATGGGGTTGCAATTTTTACACTTTACAATTTTACAATTTTCCAATTATCTTTCACACTTTCTTACAGTCCTTTCTTCTCATCACCTCTTCTTCTCCCCCTCTCGTCACCTCTCCCCCTACACCCTTCTCCTATCTCCCCCTCCCCCACCCTATCTTCCTCTACTCATCCCACTTCCCCTCTTTCCCATCAATCCATAGTCTCCTATTATTTACCACCGCGCACCTTCCTTTTCTCCCTTCCTTTTCTCTCTTCCTCTATGCTCTCTTCTATCCTTCTTCTTCGCTCTTTCCTCCTCTTCTTCTCTCTTCCCTTGCCTCCTTTTCTCTCGACACTCTCCCTTCTCCTCCTCTCACTCTCTCCTGTCCCTTTCTCTCTTCCTTCTCTTCTTCTCTCTTCCAAGTCCCACCAGGGTTTCCTTCCTTACTCTCCGTCCTATCAACTCCTGTCTCCTTGTCCTGCCTCTCCTTTCCTCCTCATTTCTCCTCTTTGCCCGGCCCCTATGCTTCCTCTCCTTCTCACCGCTCCCCCCTCTTCTCCCCGCTCTCCTCCTCTGCTGTCTTTGTTGCCCTCCTCTGTTCCTCTCTCTTTCCTTTCCTTTTCTCTATCCTCCTTGGTTTCAAATTTTCCCCTTATCCCTCTCACTTCTTCCAGTAGCTCCTTCATCCACCCTTCCCTATACACTGTCGTCTCTTCCTTCCTTCTCCTTTTTCCTTGATCTCTCCTTCTTTTCTCTCTTCTCCACCGCCGTGCGCTTTTCCCTCGAACTTCCACGCCACTTCCTCCTCTCCTGCTCTCACCGCCCGCTTCCAATTCGTCTGACCTTTCTTTCGCCGTCCTACTGTACACTTTCTCCCATCGGAAACGGAAGTCATCCTGGAGACATGTATAAGCAACGTATTATTAATGTCGAACGATTCCAAAAAAAAGGATCTTATTAAATAAAATTAATTTAATTAGTTTGAAAAATTATTACTTTTATTACTTACCTATTACTCCTCCTGCTTTTCTAGATTTTTTCATCTCAAGATCACGCTACGGTCACAGTGTTATAAGTCGCTGGATTCATCCTCTATAATTATAGTTGATTAAAAACAGGGCTTTCCATTTAAAAAATTTGAGATGACCTTCAAAACGTTTTGGCGCCTCCATCTAAAAATAAGCTAAGACGACTAAAATGTAGCCCTTTTAAAATTATTTAACTATTTTCTGAAACATTTTTATATAAAATCAATATTTATGAAGATATCTTAAAAGGCAGTTTTTAGTGACTTATTCTGTATTTATCTCATTTCTAACGCTGTTATTTTCACTTTTTCTCTAATATATTTATGTTTTAAATCACTTATTTATTTTAAGTGCTCGAATTTTTTCATCTTTTCTATAGTTTTTCTCATTTATTTCTAATTTATTTATTTTCTTTTTTTGCGCTAAATATCAAAATCTTTATTTTTCCCTTCTTTACAAATTTGTTTTTCAATATTGTTAGAACATTTTTTACAAGATGTGTTTTTATACTACCAGCATCGCATCATGCGTATACAAGGTGTGTCGAAAGTCTGGATACACTCAAATATCTCGTAAACATTGCATTTTAGAGAAAAATATTTCAGACAAAAGTTGTAAGGCTTAAAAAGACACAATCAACGGTAATAGCTGTTTGACCGTGGATGGCGTTGCCAAGGTCAGATCAAGGTCAAATTGAATTTTTTAAAT